CCTCTAATTTACACTCATAATTAAACATCAGAAACAAGAACAGGAATAGAGAATTGTGATTCATAGCAACTACTATTACACATTATAGAGGACACAGTGCATAACTCCTATAGGCACTGTTGTGGATACATCCATCTAAAGCAATTTATGTAGAAGTACAGGTTTATACTTGTTAATATAAAACTTTTCACATTTCACCAATAAAAAGCTTTACTATACAATATTAATGCTCGCTATAATGCTTCTGGACATGTAATTCCATTGGTTGATATATTTATTTATTTATTTATTTATTTATTTATTGAACTTATATCCCGCCCTCCCCCGTAGGGCTCAGGGCGGCTAACAAACAAGAAATATTACAAACAATACAACAAAGTTCTCAATATTAAGAATAAATATACATTTAAAACCATTCGAACTACATAGTTAAATTTAAATTTACAATTTACAATTTAAAAAAATACTAAGACACTTCACATCTAAAAGCTCCAAGAAAGATGATGGTGGTCCTATCTAGAGGTTCCCCACGGTCATTCGATGTTTTCACACAGTCCTTCAGATGGTCTAGATGTTTAAGGAGTTCAAGGATCCAGTACTTCTGATGTTACCTTCCATTTCCAAGGGCCTCTTCCACCCCCACTGATGGTAATATACGAGGGGGGCGGAGGGCGGCGGCCCCTACTTGAAAGCCTGGTGGAAGAGCTCCGTCTTGCAGGCCCTGCGGAACTGCATCAGGTCCCGCAGGGCCCGGATCTCACCCGGGAGCTCGTTCCACCAGGTAGGGGCCGCCACCACTACACCAAACTGGCCAAATCACTCACTCACAACTTTAAGAACATAAGAGACGCCAGTGTTGGATCAGGCCAAAGGCCCATCTAGTCCAACACTCTGTCACACAGTGGCCAAAAATACCAGGTGCCATCAGGAGGTACACCAGTGGGGCCATGACCTTTAATGCCAGTAGCTCACAAAGTAGATTTTTTTTATCACAAGACTCCACAGTTTATAGGGAGCATTGGCAGAGGGAGGCAATGGCAAACCACCTCTGCTTGTCTCTTGCCTGGAACGCCCCGTGAAGGGTCTCCATGAGTCAGGTGTGACTCAATGGTGCATTTGTTTTCTTTGCATATTGTAGGCAAGAAGGTAGCTAGGGTGAGTGTTGACCTAATTAACCGGAAGGAGGAAAAACAGCACCAGGAGAGCAGGTTAAAACATTTTCAGGAAAACTCATTAGTCACTGCAAGGTAGGGGCTGGCTTAATCGAGTGCTCCTTTATTTAAAAAGAAAAAGAAGAATCTGACTCCCTGCACTTGGAAAACCAGCCTCTCAGGAGTTAGCAAAGCTTCCCCTGAGAGGCTAGTTTTCTAAACTGAGGATTTTGATTTTTTTTTTAATTGGAGGGACATTAAAACTATAACAGCCCCCTAACTAGCAGCCTGAAGCAATTAGGTCCCGACATTGCACCCCAGTTCAGTGAGAAATAGGCCAAAGTCAATTCAGATTGAGAGCATGGGTTTCAAAATGTGTGGACCCCCTTTTGAAGGAAACTAAGCCGATTGCCCCATTTTGGATGAGGTGGCATAATTTATTTCTGCAGCCATCAAGAGGAAGAGGGAACTGTGTGAGGTGAGAAAGCAGCACACGTTGGAAACCTTATCCTGAGTTCGTCTGTGTTCACCAGACATTATCAGTTCAGTTTCCAATTTATCTCCATAGCCATGTGGACTAGAAACATGCTTTCGGTATTTATTCAGGGACTTTCATGCTGCACCCAATATCAGATTGGTCAGATCGTCTGTGATTGCCCACTATCATGCAGTGCACACAATCCTAGTATCCTCCAATGCACAAAGCATGAAGCAAGTTGCGCCCCAACATTCTGGTGCTCACTCATGTGCCCCTTGACATACCAAAGAGGAACTTGGGGCTTCTAAAAGCCAGCCTTGCTCTGAACACGGGCTTTCCCCTTTCCCATTTTGGCTTTACAGCCTCTTCTTCCCAAACCCGCTCACAGAAGATCCATCTGTCACCTTTACACTAGCGTGGAACTGGGTCTGGAAATCCCATCAGGCCAAGATTGGAATTTTTATTCTGAGACCGAGACTGTACACAGCTCCCGCATGTGAAATTTCCCCAAAATCACGAGGACTAGTGTTGTTTGTTAAATCAAAGCAAAAACCGGAGCTGAAATTTTTGGAAGTCATCACCACGGTTAATTAAGTTGTTGACAGCAAAAATATCACTAACAATGGATACATGTATAACCATGTCATGGAATCTATGACAGATAAAACAGCAAGATTCAAAAGAATTTCTGTATCATTAGTTGCTTTAGATTTTCTGGGTTGTGTGGCCGTGGTCTTGGCCCTGTAGGACCTGATGTTTCGCCAGTAGCTGTGACTGGCATCCTCAGAGGTATAACACAGAAAGATGGAGTACTCTCTGCAAAATTGCCAGATGAACAAGCTCACTGATCAGGAATCCCTCACTTCATCCCGACACACACAAAAAACTATGCAAGGCAGAAGCACAGCTACCACAACTATAGGGACTCCCTAAAATTCATAAGGACTCAGTTTCACTCCGACCCATCGTGAGTGCCATTGGTTCCCCAACATATGAATTTGCTAAATACCTGGCCAATCTTCTACAGAACCACATTGGAAAAAACACAACATACATCAAAGATTCAACACATTTCATCAACAAAATCAGTTCTCTGAAACTTAACTCACAGGACATACTCGTCAGTTTTGAAGTGACATCTCTTTTTACCAAGGTTCCGGTAAAAGACACACTCGCGCTTGTTAATCAGATTTATCCAGATGACATAACAGCCTTATTCCACCATTGTGTGACAACCAGTTACTTCCAATGGGATAACGAATTCTATGAACAGATGGATGGGGTTGCCATGGGAATCTCTCTCAGCCCAGTTATAGCAAACTTCTATATGGAACATTGGGGGGGGGGAACAGCTTTAGAATCTGCACCCCCACAAACCGATAGTCTGGTTCCGGTACACAGATGATACCTCTATCATTTGGAGCAATGGTGAAGTAGAACTGATGGAGTTTTTAGACCATCTCAACAACATCCATCCCAATATAAAATTCACCATGGAAAAAGAAGTTGAGGGTAAACTCCCATTTCTAGATATCATGGTCATCCGCAAAACTAACCTTCAATTAGGTCACAAGGTCTACAGAAAACCAACTCATACGAACCGTTATTTACACAAAAACTACAATCACCACCCTCGGCAAAAAAGAGGTATAATCAAAACATTAGTAGACCGTGCAAGACGGATATTTGAACCGCACTTTCTCAATGACGAACTAAATCATCTAAATCATGCACTTCAAGCAAATGGCTACTCCAAGAATGAAATCAGAAGAACGATTAAACCAAAGGTAAAACAAACAACTGAGGAAAAACAGTCTTCCCAGGAAAAGTGTTTTTGCCATACCTCAAAGGAATCACTGATTAGTTGGGAAAAGTGATGTAAAAACACAACCTACAAATAGTATTCAGACCCACCAGAAAAATACAACAGATGCTACGATCAGACAGAAGAGACCCCCTCACTTCTGCAGGAGTATACCGCATACCATGCAGTTGTGGACAAGTTTACATCGGGACCACACAGTGTAGCATTCAGACAAGAATAAAAGAACATGAAAGACACTGCAGACTGGGCCAACCTGAAAAATCAGCAGTGGCTGAACATAGCCTAACTCAAACAGGACACAGTATTTTGTTCCAAGACACTGAAAGGCTGGACAACACTTCCAATTACCATGTCAGATTACACAGGGAAGCCATTGAAATTAATAAACATAAACACAATTTCAACATGAAAGAAGAGACTTTAAAAATAAATAGGGCATGGTTTCCTGTCCTGAAAAACACAAAATGCTGTATATCTGACTATAGCACTACAGATAAGATTAGAATTTCAACAGCCAATCCACATACAAAAGAACCTCCTCAGGAAACAGGAAACCTCCTCAGGAAACAATCCATATACAAAAGAACCTCCTCAGGAAAGCTCCACCATTAGCATGTTCATAGCCCGGGGAACTCCTACAAGATAATGACTCAGCCCTACCCCACCTTCTGGAGTAGATAAAAATTACCTGCCTACCATTTTTCTTCTCACCTCGACACAGAGGCTGATTTCGCACTAGAGCTGCCTCGATGTTGCACCGCCGTTTGCCCCAATACTATTGGTCAATTTCACACCCGAAGCCGTGGGGCTGCATTTGACCCGCGGCTTCACCCAATTTCCTCCAAAGTTTCATGATCCTCAAAAAACATGATCACGAAACTGCAGGGGAAATCGGGCGAAGCCGCAGGTCAAAATGCAGCCCCGCGGCTTCGGGTGTGAAATTGACCAATAGTATCGGGGCAAACGGCGGCGCAACATCGAGGCAGCTCTAGTGCGAAATCAGCCAGAGAGTACTCCATCTTTCTGCGTTATATCTCTGAGGATGCCAGTCACAGCTACTGGCGAAATGTCAGGTTCTACAATGTCAAGACCATAGCCACACAACCCGGAAAATCTACAGCAACTAATGAACTCCGGCCGTGAAAGCCAACAAGATAATTTCTGTATCACTTTGAGATGCTATATAAACAAAAATAGGTGTATCCCAACAACATTCACTCTCTGTTTGCCATCCTCTCAAAAGACCAAGATCCCATCATTTTCTTATATCATTTCCAGAACATGGGTATGTAAATAAAGGGGTGGGGCTATGCAGATGAGGGCCGGCTCAGTCCTCAGCAGGCTAAAGTGATTGGGCTGCAATACGAATGCAACTTGTGTTTCACCTTCAGACCTTGGGTTTGGCGGAGGCACTCGGATCCTGTGTAACACACATTCTGACACACACCCCCTGCAACATGCACACTGCACATATCAAGATACTTCACTAGCTTTTACCGGAACCTTTTCAAAATCCACTGAATTCTGTGCAAAGTCATCTACTCACCACAAATGCAACCACACTTCTGAACGGAGACTCCCAGAGAAAGCAGCTCCGGAGAAACTGTATTGTGTTCCACACCGCCATCGTGATTCTTTTCACACGTTCCACGTTTCTCGCTAAGATCTGATGGACACGAGGCACCAGGTGGAGGGGAAGAGATTTTATAAAATTAGACCAAAGCTTACGTCCCTAAGAAATAAGACCATCTGTCTATGTGGTAATAAAGGCTCTTATGCACTGATCACTGTTTTTGGTCTTTGGGAATGCACTTTTCCATTTTGAACCTCTCAACAGCTTCCCTGCTCTTCCCATGTCATCCTTTTTGAAATGCCGGAAGACAAAAAAGAGGACCAAGCGTAGGGTTGCCAAGTCTGGCAAACTCACTGGCGGGGGAGGCTCAGACGAGTCCGGGAGCCAGCTCCGTATGCGCGTGCGCGCCGCCAGCACGTCACCGGTAGGGACGTGTAACATGGCTTATGTTGGGGGCGTGGCCCAGCTCGTTGGGGGGGAAACCATATGTTTTCCCCCTGACGAGCTGGACCACGCCCCCAACGTCAGCAACGTGGCTGGGTCACCTCCAGTGACGCAGCTTTGGGGGGCGGAGTTCCCCCTGGGGCCCAATTCCGCCGTGGCGGAAATCGGGCTTCCAAAGCGGGGATTTCCCCGCCCCCTGACCCCATTTGGCAACCCTAACCAAAAATTTAATCGCAACGTCAACTGATAAGGATTTCTATGTGGCCCAATCCGATCTTCTGGCACAGGATCCCTTCTTATTCGACTTTCCAAGTTATGGCTTTGGGGGGAAGAACCACCTTTCCCCTTTGCATAGCGCATTCTCAAAGTGGTTGCTACAGCTCCCAAATATAGCAAGCTGTAGTAATTTGCTGGTTCTGTTGCTGCCACGTTTTCCCTCTACCCCCAGCTAAGAAGTGAATTCTGACTTTTACCCAGGGACAGGCACAAAAAGTATGGATGCTGGTTTTTGCTTGAGCAGAGACTGCTCTGCGGTTGGCTTCCCTGCCACCGTGCCCTCCATATGCTGAAGACAGGGGCTGGTCATGTTGGCTCTTAACAAGCCAACAAAGGGTAAAAAAAAAAAAAGAGCAAGAGTCCAGTGGCATCTTAAAGACTAACAAAATCTGTGGCAGGGGAGGAGCTTTCATGAGATAACTGAAGAAGTGAGCAGTGACTCACGAAAGCTCCTACTCTGCCACAAATTTTGTTAGTCTTTAAGGTGCCACTGGACTCTTCCAGGGCTCTTTTTGTAGAAAAAGCCCAGCAGGAACTCATTAGCATAATAGGCCACACCCAACACCAGAAATGCATTAGCATATTAGGCCACACCCCCGACAGCACAGCTCATTACCACAGTAGGTCACACCCCCATGTTACCAGAAGTGTGGTTATCCAGCCACACCCACCTTTTGCTTGTTATTCTGTTTACCTTGTTTGTTGTCAAAACCCAGGGCTTTTTTGTAGCAGGGACTCCTTTGCATGTTAGGCCACACACCCCTAATGTAGCCAATCCTAATGAGTTTCTGCTGTTGGGTGTGGCCTATTATGCTAATGAGTTCCTGCTGGGCGTGGCCAACTTGGGAGCCAGCCGGAACTCCGTTCCTGTGTGTTCCTGCCCTGACTCTTGCTATACACCGAACTCTTTTCTATTGGACCATCATGGTCAGTATTGTCTAGTTAGCCTGGCACCAGCTCTCCAGGGTCTCAGGCAGAGGTCCTTCACATTGCCTACTGCCTGGTCTTTTTAACCGGAGATGGTGTGGATTGAACCTGGGACCTTGTGCATGCCAAGCAGATGCTCTACCACTGAGCTACGGCCCCTTGTTGGTCTTTAAGGTGCTTACTTGGACTTGAATTTTGTTCTTCTATTGCTACAGACAGACTAACAGGTACCCATCTTGATCTATCGACAAAGGGTAAATATAACTGTGGTGGAATAGTCCTGCTGTGGCCTGCAGGCCCTGTTCCACCCTGCCCTCCGTGGTTTTCCCAGCACCTGGAGAGGCTTTTCTCTTTCTCTCCAGTAACCTGCCGCCACCACCTGTCCTTTGTAGGAACTGCCTGCCAGGAGGGTCAGGACTCCCAGCTTTCCTTCCAGGTTCTGAGGCCTTGCCTCTGTGTCTCCCACCGCCCAGTGCCTGGTCACCACGAGAAGAGTTTACTGCCTTCTACACCCCTGGAGAAACAGCTACTTGCCACTTCTTTTTAAAAAGTGTGTCCAAGAAGGCTGAGGTCTGTGTGGTACAGAGAACCACTACCAGCATCCAAAGTTATAAACGGGTGTGTGCAAAAAAGAAAAAATATTTTTCAAGTTTGGGTATATTAAACCCGAAAAATATCACTATTTCATGAATCCCAATACTGGTATGATATTTGGATTTGGGAAATATTCGGGTCTCCTGAATTTTCAGCTCCATTATACCCTATGGGGACCATTATAGTCAATGGTCCCCATAGGCTATAATGGAGAATCGAGCTGGGGCTCTGGAGGAGCTGCTTTTGAGGTAGATGGACCAAATTTGCCGCATAGCTGCTGGTGCCTCTCCTCAACCCCCCCCCAGTTTAAAAAAGATTGTATCAGGATGTCCAATTCTATGGCCCCCTAAAGAACATCCCCCCATCCTCCATTGTTTCCAAAGGAGGGGGCAGTTATTAAAAATGGATCGCAGTCCCCTGAGTTTTATCACCACTTTTCCCCCCACCCACTGACCAGGTCAGGCCAGGTCAGAGAAGCTTTTCTAGAAGTCTCCAGGATTTTCCTTCCTGAAGCCTCTTTAGTATTTAATTCCTCGGAACCTCTCTTCCCTGCCAGTTTGGTATAGTGGTTAAGTGCGCGGGACTCTTATCTGGGAGAACTGGGTTTGATTTCCCACTCCTCCACTCGCAGCTGCTGGATGACCTTGGGCAAGCCATAGTTCGGATAAGAGCTGTTCTTGAAAAAGAGCAGTTTCTCTCAGAGCTCTCTCAGCCCCACCTCCCTCACAGGGTGTCTGCTGTGGGGAGGGGAAGGGGAAGGAGTTTGCAAGCCACTCTGATACTCCGAAAGAAGGGCAGGGTATAAATCCAATCTCTTCTTCTTATTCTAAAGAAGGGGTACAAATGAGTTCGACACCTGTAGTTTAGACCTGTTAGCTTTTGTATGAAGGTGGGCTGAGGTAAGTCTGGAAAGCGATTGGACTGACTTCCCCCCCCTTCCTGCCTATTTTCTGCCCAGAAAGGGGGGGGCTTTTAAAACTCAGAGGGAAGTTTTTGCTCATTTCATACCTCCAATACCAAATAGAAGTAACCAAATATATCAACTCGAACTAATTTCTTAATGAATAACCCAACACATGAGTAATGGACCAAAAGGAAATTTCTTGCTCTGAAACACAGAATGGTTCTGGGGGGATCATAAAATCATCTAATCTTGTTGACCATTAATAAAAACTCTGGTTTGTTTGCGACAAACACAAACTTGGCTTCTGAGCACCCTAACCCTCTCCCCTTCCCTGCCTGTGCAGGACAGAGATGGAAGACATCCAGTTTTGAAAGGAATCACAGATTTCTGGGACGTGCACATCACAGCGTTCTAGCAAACTGCCGTTTCTTTCAGGCCCGTGAACCAGGATTCCATATTCTTTCATGTTTTCAGTCTCTCCTCTGCAGGGGAGGGGTGCAGGAGGGGCCCACCGGCCTGAGGATAAGGCAGACTTATTCTTGTCACGCACAAACTGGAGTCTGTCGGTGATGTCTGAACGCCCATTCCAGCCCGCTCCCCCACCATTCTGCAAAGTTCACGCCAAGCTGCTGAACCCGGTCCCCCCCCCATGCATACAAAAAGACAAGGCAGGCCGTTCCTAAAGACGAGCCTACCTTCTTTGAAAACTTGCGGTTGTCTTCCAGAAACCGCCTCTCACGGGGCAAAAAGGTCCGAAGGCTGGCTTTCACCTGAAAGAAAGAGGGAACATAATTTTATACTGAATTGTATCATTTTAACTGTATTTCTGTTTAAGCAGAATAATGTTCGCCGCCTTGTAGACCCTAATTGGCTAGAGAGGCAGCATAAGAAGGTTTTAAGTGAATGAATACAATAAATAAACTCCAGCATAGGTTACCAGCAGTGTTCCCTCTAAGCTGAGTTAGTGTGAGCTAGCTCACAGTTTTTTAGCTTCCGGCTCACTCATCCTTGCGTTAGCTCAGGAAGGATGGCTCCGGGGCAAACTAATTTACGCAGTAGCCAAATAGCTCGCTCATGACTTTCATGCCAGTAGCTCACAAAGTAGAATTTTTGCTCACAAGACTCCACAGCTTAGAGAGAGCATTGGTTACCAGTAGGCTTACCAACCTCCAGATGGGACCTGGAGATATCCCAGATTCTCCAGACTACAGAGATCAGGTCTCAGGCAATTTTTAAATGCAGTTTTAATGTTTTATGTACTGGGCATTGGCCCCATCTGTATGCCGCCCTGAGCCCGTTTGCGGGGAGGGCGGGTTATAAATTTAAATAAATTAAATAAATAAATAAATAAATAAATGGCTCAGTGGTAGAGCATCTGCTCAGCCTGCAGAAGGTCCCTGGCATCTCCAGTTCAAAAGGACAGGGTGGAAGGTGATGAGAAAGACCTCAGCCTGAGACGTCGGGCAGCTGCTGCTGATCGGAGGAGACAGTACTGACTTTGATCGACCAAAGGTCTGATTCAGTAGAGGGCAGCTTCATGTGTGACCCTTTGGTGTCGTGGTTAAGTGTGCGGACTCTAAACTGGGAGAACCGGGTTTGATTCCCCACTCCTCCACTTGTAGCTGCCAGATAACCTTGGACAAGCCATAGTTCTGATAAGAGCTGTCCTTGAAAAAGAGCAGTTTCTGTCAAGAGCTCTCTTCCTCCTCCTCCTCCTCCTCCTCTTCTTCTTTTTTCTCCCCTACCTCTGCCCTCTAGAGCCTGTGCCCCGAAATCTCCGGATATTTCCCAAACCTGAGCTGGCAAACCAAGCTTGACACATCCAGTCCAAAAAGTCCTGAATATCCTTTTCTGGAATGCACCAAAATCCTGAACAGCCAGCCTTTCCCTGAAGGGTACCTATCCTAAGTTAGGACTTAAATCGACTTATCTCTGATAGGTTGGGTTGCCAAGCTCCAGGTAGTGTCTGGAGGTCTCCTGCTATTACAACTGACCTTCAGCTGACAGAGATCAGTCCACCTGGAGAAAATGGCTGCTTTGAAGGGTGGACTCTGTGGCATTGGATCCTATTGAAGCCCAGCCTACTCAGGCTCCGCCCCCCCCCAAATTCCAGGTATTCCTACCAGGGGTTGTTTCATAGAAAAAGAGCTAGGGGGACTCATTAGCATAACTCATTAGCATATGCCACAACCCTCGACATCACCGGAAGTGTGTCATAAGGCCACACACCCTGAATGCACTCGCCCGCTTCGGGAGAGGGGCTCAAAGTGTAATACAAGCCTCCTCTGAGACTTGATCACACCAATCTCAACTCTCTCTTGGGTCTTGATGCCTGCCAGTCATTCCCCCTGCCTGGGGGAAGCCGCGTTGGGACCAAAATACAGTCCAAACTGCTGTAAGGAACACCCGTCCACCCTGAGCACTTACAGGGTGCGTCAAATTGCCATTTTACCCCGACCGGAAGCAGGGGGTGGGGCTTCATCGTGTGCCCCTCCCCCACACCTCACCCGGGGGAATGGTGATCCCCCGCGATCCCCCTGAATAGACCCCTGTTTCCTACCCTGGAGCTGGAAACCCTACTGAGGGACTACACATTTGTGTTTTACACACAAACACACACACATTACTTGAAGCACTAAAAGCTTAAAAATCTAGAAGGGAAGAGAGACGGGAAAGAACAAGCTCTTAACACACTCAGACTTACAGGATTAAATAAGACGTCAAGTTCCAAATGGATCACTCCTTTCGAAGGAAGTTCCAAGTCTTTATTCTTCAAAACGTAGCAGCTTTGCTGTCCATTTCTTATCTGGAAAAGAACACGGAATGAAAAAAGGGACTCAATAAAAAGGCATCGATCGCTTCTGTTGACATAAACGGGATTTCTTAACAAGTGCGAGAGCGTTCCAGGAACAGGGGTGTTAAACTTCATTTAACAAAGCAATCGTTCGATTGGGGGGGGGAGACATTTAAACACTGACAAACACCCAAGAATGCCCTACTGAAATCAATAGCGTTTACTTCAGAGTAAGCATGCACTTTTTACGCTGAGGATACCAGCCAGATATGAAGCCCTTCTAGGGCTCCCAGCCAAGGCCCGCAACCAATGGAAGAGTGAAAGGCCATTATAACCAGCGTTGACATGATTCCGAATTTTCCTATTTCGTTCCCACTGCTCCACAGAAAGGAAGCTAGAAGCTCGGGTGGGGGGGAGACGCAGGTGGTCTCCCGCCAAAGCAGGAGACCTAGCGTTGCCAACTTCGGGTTTGAAAATACCTGGAGATTTGAGGGTGGGGTTTGGGAGGGAAGAGACCTTGGCAGGGTATAATGCCGTACAGTCTATCTTCGAAAGCAGACATTTTTTCTCCAGGGGAAGTGGAATAAACAAACGAGCAGCAATCTATGTCGCCTGGAGAGCAGCCGTAATCCCAAGAGATCTCCAGCCCCCACCTGGGGGATGGCAACCCTATGGTGACCTGTCACCCCTAAGCAAATCTGTGTAATTAACACTGTGTGGATCCTGACCTATTTGCACTGGGTTTGGAATCCGAACCTTATGGAGTGTGTTACACCCGTCCAGAGAAGAAAAGGATGCTCCTAACATGCCACAGGATGACGTGGCAGAACACAGAGGCGGCCGAAAGGGTGTACATAGTACAACGAAATTAAAGATGCAATCATTTCGGTGATCTACAACAATATTCACATGCACTCACACACCATTCACTACTGCCCCATAACTCCCTTAAGGTTCACATGACAACTTAAACCCACCAATGTCACCCAAATTCCAATTTCATACAGCATTTAAGGCAATAATAGCTCTCGAATAAAAACTATTTTTAAAATCTATTTGTCCTTGCTTTAATTGTCCTGTATCTTCTGCCCGAAGGCAGCAGTTCAGACAGGGAATGTTCAGGATGTGACGAGTCCTGCAAAATGTTCTTTGCTTTTTTCAAACATCGAGAACTGTACCACCTCCCCTGGCAGGCGAAAGATGACAATTTTCAAAACGCCCCTAAACGAACGATTCCCCATCATTCGAAAACCCACTCCGTTAAATCCGCTCCGTTTGACGTTCTACTGCTTTGATTTTCAGGGAGTTTTATTACATTAAAGCCTTGGGGGGGGGTGGAACCCGCCCCCATCATTTGGCCTGTAGCTGCCAAACTTCAGGTGAAGGCTGGAGATCTCCTGGGGTTACTACTGTTTGCCAAGCATCAGTTCACCTGGAGAAAATGGTTCCTTTGGAAGGTGGGTTCTATGGCATTGCGAAGTCCCTCCCCTTCCTAAAACCCGCCCTCTTCAGGCTCCACCTCAAAATCGCCAGGTATTTCCCAACCTGGAGCTGGCAACCCAACTTCAGCCTGTCGTAGGACTGCCAGGTCCCCCCGGCCACTGGGAAGGGTTGGATGTTAGGATTGTCATATCCAGGGGTCATTTCGTAGAAAAAGAGGTGCAGGGCTATATTTGGGCAGGAACGCACAGGACCAGAGTTCCGGCTGGCTCCCGAGTTGGCCACGCCCAGCAGGAACTCATTAGCATAATAGGCCACCCCCAACAGTAGAAACTCTTTAGGATTGGCTACATTAGGGGGGTGTGGCCTAACATGCAAAGGAGTTCCTTCCACAAAAAAAGGCCCTGGGTTTTGACAACAAACAAGGTAAACAGAATAACAAGCAAAAGGTAGGTGTGGCTGGATGACCACACTTCTGGTAACATGGGGGTGCGGCCTAATGTGCTAATGAGCTGTGCTGTCAGGGGTGTGGCACAATATGCTAATGAGTTCCTGTTGCTGGGTGTGGCCTATTATGCTAATGAGTTCCTGCTGGACTTTTTCTACAAAAAGAGCACTGCTCATTAGCATAACTTATTTGCATGTGCCACACCCCCTGACATCACTGGAAGTGTGTCAGAAGGCAACACCCACCACTTAGGCTCCACTGAACTGTTTTGGATTGCTAGCTATTGGGGGGGGGGAACCTGCAGATCTGTCCTCGCAGAAGAGGGAGAGCTTGTACCTGAATAAAACTTGGTCTTAAAGGTACCACTGGACTGTTTTGGACCGGGGGGGGCGGGGGGAGCTCTGCAACTTACCTGGCTGCCTTTTGCTCTGACTGAGGGCTGCTGGGAGCAGGGGGTGGGGATTGTTGCATGTGCCCGCCCCCTGGGCTCTTTACTGCCAGAGCGCCGCTCCTGTGCGCTCCTGCAGGAAATGACCCCTGGTCATATCCAGGTTGGGAAACTCCTGGAGATTTGGGGATGGAGCCTGGGGAGGACAGGGACCTCAGTGGGGCACAGTGCCACAGAGTCCACTCTCCAAAGCTTCCATTTTTTTTCCAGGGGGAACTGATCTCTGCAGTCTGGTGATGAGCTGTAATTCCAGGGAATCCCCAGGTCCCACCTGGAGACTGGCATCCCTAGTCTGGCAACCCTAATCACCTCCTTCTGTTCCATTCGGAGGCCAGGCCTCATCCTACGTTCTATGGGATTTAAGAGAAATCCAACAGCTAGAGCCCTAAATGGCCGTGTTATTGGCTGGGGGTGGGTAAAAGCTATAATTAAAAAAGTATCAGGGCCCGTCCTAACGATATTATTGCTCTTCTGTATTGCAGAGAAACCTGAAACGCGACCAACTGCCAGCCAGCAAAAGCTGCCCTGGAATCTAGGCAGTCAACAGAAAATCATTAGCGCCTGTTATTTAGCATTGTAAACAGCTCTTTCCTGTCCAAATAGCAGAACGGAGGGGGAACAAATAACTCACAAAGCAATATTACAACCCCAAATCATGTTAGAAATGGAACATTCCCACCCACCCCCAATTGGCTAGCTAAATAAAGTTGACACAGGATTTGAATAACCCTAATTTGGGGGGGGGGGGAAATGCATACAAGTGATTTATTTTTTTTTAAAGGACACACCTTCATTCCCTCAAACCACTTTGCACGTCAAATTTCAGATGGGCTGGCAAGTTTTAATATGTCCGCTCACCCTCGTGGGGTTAAACATCTATGCAAAATAAAAAATAAAAAAGTCATTTCCCAACCAATTTGGAGGCCGTTTGGCTCCTTGCGAAGGTGTCCTTCATTTTTTTTTTAAAAAGGGACAGCAAAAATGCACATATTATACACGGTAGGCTAAGTATTGATTAAACATTTGGCTTTATTTTATTTTATTTTTTCTAGGCAGAGGACCAGCTAATTCCAAACAGAAGTGACAATAAAAGCTGTCACTTACGAAAAAAAAGGCTTAGTTGGGGGAATGAAAACATTCAGAGATTTAAAAGGTAACTTGGAGGAGATTGGAGGGCATGAAATTGCAGCCGTATTCAAAGTAGCTACCGTGGAAATGGGAACAAATTTAGTGCAAACTATGGATGGGGAGAAATGGGGGGGGGTAGGAGTTCAAAGAAGAGGTCCTTTGCTTGCTGATGGTCACCCCTCTTCCTCCATACTAAAATGTGTTGTTCGAAGATTCACTGGTTTGTACATAGGGTAGGAGTCACGGATTGCTGGATATTGTACTGCAGTTCACCTCCAAGCAGGGTTGCCAAACCACAGTTGGCAACCCCCAGGAGGAACTGGTAAGCGGGCACTGGTGTGCTGGCATTGCCCCATTGTGCTGATTCTAATCTGAGAGAACCGGGTTTGATTCCCCCACTCCTCCACTTGCAGCTGCTGGATGACTTTGGGCAAGCCATAGTCAGGGCCGGCTTACTCACTAGGCGGACTAGGCGATCGCCTAGAGCGGGCCGGCCCTTAGGGGCACCAAACTGCACCCGGCCCCGTACTCTGGGAGTTTCTTGATTATTTGTGTTTTTCATTCTTACTAAAATGCATTTATTTTTGAAAATTGGTGGGCGCGCCGGTGGGGGGGGGCGCCAGAAGGGATCCCCACCTAGGGTGCAAAATAAGCTGGGGCCGGCCCTGGCCATAGTCCTGTCAGAGCTGTTCTTGAAAAAGAGCAGTTTCTCTCAGAGCTCTCTCAGCCCCACCTACCTCATAGGGTGTCTGTTGTGGGGAGGGGAAGGGAAAGGAGTTTGTAAGCCGCTCTGAGACTCCTTTGGGTAGTGAAGGGTGGGGTATAAATCCAATCTCCTCCTCCATCTTCAGGACGCTTTTATCAGGTATCACGGCCAATGGAAGTTAGTGCGAGCTGAGAGCACTGGACTGGGTCTAGGATGACCCAGGTTCAAATCGCTGTTTCCCATGAAACTCATTGAGTTAGGCCACTCACTCGTTCTCAACCTAACCTCCCTCACAGGGTTGTTGTAAGGATAAAATGGAGAAGGGGCTACCCTGAGCCTGCCGGAGGACTGGGAAGATAAAAATGCGCTAAGTTGTTGTGTCCGCTGGCCCCCACCAGGGGCCAGCGCTTGACTCTGGAAGAACAATGGGGACTAGGCTCCTGGTCTCTCCACGGAGGGACCAATGGGATGTTGGCGGGAGATTCAAACCCACCAATGGGACCTAGGGGTGTGTCCCCAGTTGTGTACATAGTTGGCCCACGGGCCGTTTCCCTTTGTCCTTGTTGTGTAGCAGTGAAGCGTGCAGGATGCTATGCAAACCGCAGCGGCCTAGCCATGCGGTTAACCCCACTACACAATATAAGTAAACAACAGCGATGGTCTGAAATTTTCATTTCAAATCTCTCCTCAACGGCCTTAAGGATGGGAATACATTCCAGCTCTCCTTGCTCTGGCAATCTGTGATAATAATACCAACCAAGGATCACCAAGATTATGCCCGTGAAAAGATATTTAAACACACAAGATGTTAAATATTATCGGCACAGTGACTTTCCAAGCTGAAACAAATGGCAACCCCATGGGATGTCAAATCTCACCTAACCGCATGCCAGATTTCTCTAGGATTAATGGGTCTATCGGCTCGACAGAACAAAATGCATCCTAGGGAAAAATGGATTTGTGGGAGTGATGGCGCTGCTACGCCCAGCCAATGCTAAACCTATTAAGCCGTAACCTCACTGACCGCTCGAGAATTTTAACAAAATGGGAAGAGTCAGAGATTGATACAGTGCAGGATGCCAAAGAGACAAGGCCCTTCTGGAAGAGAGGCCGGCTTCCCTTGTTCTTGTCTCAAAGAAAAATGGCCTCCTGACTTCTCCCCCACGCCTCCCTTTAATTTCATGTCAGAAGGTTCCAGATGCAAGTCAGACTCAAATGCAAGCTCGGAGCCAACTGTGGATGACATGACACAAAACAGCAACGATCCAACCCTGTTGTGATCTCCAGGCAACCGAGATAGTATCCAACAGCAAGGAGGAGGAGGAGGAGGAGGAGGAGGAGGAGGAGAGACTGGATTTACACCCCACCCTTCACCACCCGAAAGAGTCCCAGAGCAGCTTACAATCTCCTTTCCCTTCCCCTCCCCACAACAGACACCCTGTGAGGTAGGTGGGGCTGAGAGAGCTCTTTCGAGAACTGCTCCTGAGAGAACGGCTCTGAAAGAACTTGTGACTGGCCCAAGGTCACACCAGCAGCTACATGTGGAGGAGGAGTGGGGAATCAAACCTGGTAATCCCAGGGGATCTCCACGTAGAGTCTGGCATCCCTACGTCAGTTTATTGAAAAATCCCAGCTGAGGCAGCGTGGGTCTTCAGTACTTACAAAATGCCCATCAAAAATGCAATACAACTTGCATCCTAAAATATGAGGCTGGCTTACCGCATGAGACATTGGTCCCATTTCACACAACATGGGCTAGTCATTACCTGGATAAGTGTGAGGTCTGAACACTACATCCAGTTGCGCATGCACTGAATGTAACATGAGAATTATTCAACGGGTGTGAAAAGAAAAGAGCATGCGGATTGTACGGGCATTTGTTGTCATATGCGAACGGAGTTAAACAAGGACGAATTTTCCAATCTCTGCTACCTGAAATCTGTCAAAGGGGCAGAGCCAAGGACTCAGCCTAGATAGCTGCAAAAACACATGCTCGACCCCTTGCAGACGCAACACCAAAAATAGGGCCCAAATGTTTTATCAAGTGTGTACGAGGAGATCTTTGGATCTCTGCTTGTAAACTTAATTGGGGGCCAGATCCAGCACGGCAGACCCCAAATGTGCCGTTCCTGAGATAAAGATAATTCTGTCTTAAACCTCAGAGAAGCCAGAGAGAATGGAGTCGAGATAAAACGGATCATACACACACTCGTCTCTCTCTCTCACGCACACACACCTTCCCCTCCTCTCCCCGCCTTCTCTGCCTGCCTCGTTACAGGAATCCTGAGGGACTCTTGACAAATGTCTATAAAATCAAGAGAAAAAGAAATCAAGAACCTAACATCTTCTGACTGTCAGCCCACACAGCCGGCTGCCTCTCGCACAGGCCATTTGGCAGGCGCTGGCTCTCCGGGAGACCAGCTGCTCGCGCCGCTCCCATCCAGTAACATCAGGGATACGAGGACTCGGGGAGAAATTAACAGAGTCATCAAAAATTGAATAAAAGATGTTAAGGAGTCGTTCCTCCCTCTGTAAACATCGAACGGTTCGTCGCATGGAGTGGGCTTTGAGTACCATTCAAAAAAATTAAAACAAAATGGTTGTCCAACCACCACAGGATCTAGAAAGAGGGCCACAGTGAATCTAAAAGTTAGGGATGTTGTGGGGAAACCATCAATGGGCAAGAGAGACACCCTCAAAAGGACCAGCAACTTAAAGCATCCCGTGTTGGTGGCTGAAATGGAAGCAGGCAGCTGGGAATGAATAAGGGTGGTGTAGGGGTGCGGTGGCTCAAGTGGTTAAGATGCTGAACTGCAGGCTGGAAGGTCGGTAGTTCGGCAGTTTGAGACCCGAGTGCCGCATGACGGAGTGAGCTCCTGTCTCTGGTTCCAACTCCTGCCAAACTAGCAGTTCGAAAGCAAGAAATTGCGAGTAGATAAATAGGTACCACTTCGGTGGGAAGGTAACAGCATTCCGTGTCTAGTCATGCCGGCCACATGACCACAGAAACATCTTCGGACAGCGCTGGCTCTTCAGTTTGGAAACGGAGATAAGCACCACAACCCTAGAGTCAGATTCTACTGGCTTTCAAGCAAGGGAAACCTTTACCTAGGGGTTCCAACATCAGACAGGGCTCTAAGAAGCCCAGGGTTCAAATCCCCATGCCACCATGGAAGCTTATTGGGTGGCCTTGGGACGGTCACATGCTCTCAGCCTATTCTACCTCACAGGATTGTTGTGAGGATAAAATGGAAGACAGGTGAAAAACGTAAGCTGCTTTGGGACCCCGTTAGGGAGAAAGGCACGGTATCAGTGAAGGAAATAAATGAATTAAAAGGTCAGATCTGGTTGGAAACTACAAAGAAAAAGGAAGATTTCCCCAGCTGGTTTCAATCTGACATGAAGGCTTGCAAGAGTGCTTTTCCATGACCGGGAATCATGGTTCCATCACCCCACCTTCGACTCTGGTGTCCAAACTAGAGAGGAGGAAGAGATAGTCAATCTCTCCCATAGCTGCAAGTAAATGGTGAAGACATACGAAACATCTGCGGATCAATGATATAAACGGAAAAGCAGTCTCACGCCATGTCGACAAAATGTATATTTCACTGCCTAGGGGCAAAACAATTGCAAGTTTATAGCAGACACAGACACGCAAAAATCCCTGCAGGTTGCGCTGACCAGCCAGCCCCTGAAAAACACCAAGACGCCCCTCACCTTGCTTTCAAAATGGTTGCAAGCTTTATTTCCCCCTTTCCCCATAAGCTGCAGGATGGATGTTTGCAAAATCATTTTAAAAGATCCTAAAATAGCTATGCAGCCTTCCTGAATCAGGGGGGAAAGGTATTCTCCAGCTAATTCAGGGGAAAAGAATATACATATCCATCACTCAAAACCGCGACACAGTGAAGAATCTCTCCTCACTTTGTGAATAGGGAAAAAAAAATAGTGGTGGCATTTCTTTAAATATTACGTATGCCTTCACCCTCCAGTTGACAAAAGAAATGACACTGAATAGAAAAAAGTAGCCGTGGCATCTCTTTAAATATTACATCTGTCTTCACCCTCCAGTTGACAAAAAGGACAGTGCATAGGGGGAAAAATAGCCGCAGCATCTCTTTAAATATTACCACTGTCTTCGCCTTCCAGTTGACAAAAGAAATGACAGTGAAAAGAAAAAAATAGCCGTGGCATCTCTTTAAATATTATATCTGTCTTCACCCTCCAGTTGACAAAAGAAATGACAGACTGAGCCAAGACTGGCTAGAAGAGGGGGGGAAAGAGATGAAATTTTAATTGTCACGGTTTGAGAGTGCTAAATAAAACAGTGGCACCTTAAACAACATTTATTTCCATATAAGTTTTCGTGAGCCATGGTGCTCTGCTTCAGATAAGTGACAGTGAGCTGTGGCTCAAAAAAAGGTCATATGAAAATAAATATCGTTGTGCTTTTAAGGGGCTTCAGGAATTTTGTTTAATTTTGCTCCAACAAACACGACCGCCCCTTTGCAGTCAAATCGCTATCGCTCTCCCAGCATCATATGCAAAGGAGTGAATGAGCAAAGCAGAGAAGAAAGCAAAAAGCATAATATGAAAATATCAGTTTCCTAAAGTTAAACCGAAGCAGAGATTAAACAATGATACATGGGGGGGGGGTTATCTTTCCATTCATCATTGTTTGACTGAAAGACACACACCCGCCCTTTCAACATAAGGAGAGCCATAAATATTGTCCGAGACACATCTATCACAGAGACTTGTTTTTCTTTCTTGCCCGAGTTGCTCTGGCCACCGGAGGAAGGCATCTCCCATTGAAACCATCAAGGCAGGAATGATGTACGGAGCAAAGATAAACTTACAGACAGCAGAGGAATGGCAACTTTTCCAAGGAAGTCTGGCGGCTTGTCTCCGTCTTCATCAAACACCGTCACTTCAAGAATGTCATGGATGTCTTTAACAGGGCTGCGGAAAGAGATTTACAGAGCAAGAAAAGGTTAGGAATATGCACCCATCCCGTCTATCACCCCCCCCCCAAAAAAAAACCTAAGTGTCAAGGATAGCTATTTGGTAACTGCTCCGTTACCCCTGAGGAGTAAAACTCACATTCTGTTATATGCCTCCAGACTCCCAAAACCTATGTTCACCATGCTCCCTATGCTGCCTCACATCATACAAGAAAACATCTTGTGAAGCTGACTGTGTTTAGGATATGAAAGTGTGAAGAATGAGATAGGTAGGTGAGCTGGACAAGGAACAAAACATAAAACCTGGGGTAGGTGTATCCAGGTGGGTAGCCACGTTGGTCTGACATAGCGGAACAATGTTTGAGTCCAGTGGCACCTTCAAGACCAACAAAGTTTTATTCAAGGTAGAACAAATGTAGAGTCCAGTGGCACTGTGACTAAACAAACGTATATTCAAAGTATGAGCTTTTGGGCGCACGCACACTTTATTTGAAAAAGCATGCAAGCACACGAAAGCTTATACCTTGAGTAAACCTTTGTTGGTCCTAAAGGTACCACTGGACACTAAATTTGTTCTACTGCTTCAGACCAAGACGGCTGGAACTAATTGTGTGTGTACAAACACTTCCTCAGATACAATGAAATGGAATTTACCAGTCCATACATATAAGGCAGAGGTTGAACAGCAAATTAGCAAGCAACATCATGAAGATGTTTTAACAGATGCAAACAGGAATAACAAGCTAAGTTTATAAGGTCATTTGGATTTAATTCCGGGGGAGAAACAGTGAAGCAAAAAAATATGTCAACAATGGAGATAGATGTGTAAATGTATCCTTTGCAATCACGGAGTGCTAAGAGTAATTAACTGGGGTGTGTGTGTATGCCTCATTTCCATAGGGGGTTGGGAGTACAGATGTAGCACGGGATAAAGACTTTCTCAGCATTGAAGGTTTTGACCCTTACAGCCCTTTCTAGTCTGGATCTCTTCTGTTTGAAGGATCGCTTCTCTCCCAGGAGGGCAACAAACCTTAAGATACACACAAAATGTGTCCCCTTTTCCTTCATTGAAGGAACTAAGATTTCTGACCACCAAGGTAGGTTTACAGCCTGGTATTGTGGTTACAGTGATGGACTGAAATCTGGGAGACCCAGGTTCGAATTCCCACTCTGCCATGGAAGCTTGCTGCGAGACCCTGGGCCAGTCACACACTCTAGGCCTCACCTACCTCACAGGGTGGTTGTGAGGACAAAATGGAGAACAGGAGAATTATGTAAGCGCTGCTGTGGGCTTCCCATGGGGAGGAGGGGGGGTTAAATAAATAAGTAAATAAATTCTACCGCCGCCGCCCGAGATCAGAGCTGCCTTTCTAACATCCAGCTGAAGCTACATTGCTTAGCCGTGGATTTTTCCTAACTTGGTTTTAATGGTGTTTGTTGTGTTAGTGATGTGGGTTTCTAGTTAGCTTTTGTTTGCTTTTTTAATTGTAAACCGTGCTGAGAAACAAAGGAAAGTGGTATAGAAATATAATAAGGAAACAAACCTTTCTAACACCTGCCCAGATCTGCCCCCCAACTTCTTTCAAAGCCCCCTGTTCTCCCTTGGCCTATTTCCCTATGGAGTTTGTGATTCCTAAAAAAAAATCAAGAGCAGCCCGGTTTCCAGCTGCAAATCCACTTACAAAGTGAAAACCTGGTTCCACTCCGGATTGAGGTTCTTATAAATGGTGTAACTCTGCAGTCGCCCATTTCCGAGCTCTAGCACACAGAAGGGGTCGCTTTTTCCTGGAAAGGGAAACCAGTTCTTTTTAGAGTACTTAATCAAGGGAGGAAGAAATCATGCAACATTTCAGGACCCTGCCAGATGACGCTTTCTCGTCTCAGTCCTTTTCCACAGCCTTTTGAGAACCGAGTTCTTGCTTGGTTTGCAAGGGCTACACCCTGGAGAACCTTCCGACCAAGTTGCTCGGCTCACCGAGGGCGTGCGTGAGGGCAAGTGGAAAACAACCTTGCCGCAGGGGATTTAAGTGGATTGCTTCAAAACCTGGGATCCCTTTAGCCTGCAATCCATGCCACTGCTTGCTTCTCTGGACTTCTCCTGAAACAAACAGCTGAATTGAAACTCAAAATATTAACTGTACCCCAAGTCGTCTACATTTGTGAAGAAATGGCTACCATTCATGGGACATCTCTTTGCCTCAGATCTACAGCCACACAAACGCATATATCTGAACATACTACACCAATAACAGACTCCACACCAAAGTACACATAATGTCTGGACAAACTAAGTCGAAGCTTGGTTCTGATAGAACGAGAGAAACACTTGCCCATTGTCATCTTAATACTATTACTGGCATAGGAATTCGAACACTTATTGCTACACTTATTGTATTTCATAGTTTGATGTTATTCATTTGTATTAGCTTCTGGTTGTCACAAAAATCATGTCTATAATCTCACATGATACTTTGTATGCAATGCTTCTGTAATCGGTTTACTATTGAAAACTAATAAAAAGATTTAAATTAAAAATATTAACTGTGAAGGCTGCAAATTCAGACGGTAAATTTGGGATCTCAGAAATTAAGCAGGGCCATCCCTGACAAGTATTTGGATGGGAGACCTCCAAAGAATACCAGGGTTGGGAGGTGAGGGCAGGCTATCGAGCCACTTCTCTGAACGTCCTCCATGCCCCAGTAGGAGTTGCCAGAGGTCACCATGGCTTCCAGGTACGGGCACGCGCGCACACACATGCACAAAATGCCAAAAAACAAAACGAAACAAAAAACAGAAGGTAAATTTGGTAGGATCCTCCTCCACCCCCCAAAGTACTAAGATTCATTGCTAAGTTAACTGTGGTATTTTTTTTAAGCTTTTGAGAACAGCAGCAAAAGGTTGATAAAATTGGCCTTTGGGTTGCTTTCGAAGACATATTGATCTTACTCGTCATTTCTCAGACATCATGGAAACCGACAGGTCTCTTTTAGGCACGGGCACTGTAAGCACATCCACCACATTAGGGCTTCTAATGTCCTGGCCCCACTGGTGGACCTCCTGATGGCACCTGGTATTTCTGGCCACTGTGTGATACAGAGTGTTGGACTAGATGGGCCTTTGGCCTGATCCAACATTGGCTTCTCTTATGTTCTTACGTTCTTATTTACTCCACAGAGGCCTTTGGGAAGCAGGTTTTCTCCTGCTACCCCACAGAATTGTGTTGTTCGATGCACTATCCGGAGAGGCGTGACATCACTTTTGGGTTTTCCTGGAAGTAACATCAAAATGTTGTGGACGGCTGCCACGCGTGTCCCTGACCTCCAAGTCTCCCACTGGTCACCAGGCATGACATGGAGGCCGTAGAAAACACTATACGGTCCAGGGCTATTTTTGGGCAGGAACACACAGGAACGGAGTTCCGGCTGGCTCCCAAGTTGGCCACGCCCAGCAGGAACTCATTAGCATAATAGGCCACACCCAACAGCAGAAATGAATTAGGATTGGCTACATTAGTGGTGTGTGGCCTAACATGCAAAGGAGTTCCTGCTACAAAAAAGGCCCTGTACCGTTTTGACAACAAACAAGGTCAACAGAATAAGAAGCAAAAGGTGGGTGTGGCTGGATGATGACACTTCTGGTAACATGGGGGTGCAGCCTAATGTGCTAATGAGCTGTGCTGTCAGGGGTGTGGCCCAATATGCTAATGAGTTCCTGCTGTTGGGTGTGGCCTACTATGCTAATGAGTTCCTGCTGGGCTTTTTCTACAAAAAGAGCCCTGAACTGTCTATAGCACATTTGCAGGCTTGGGGGACCCACGGAAAGTCCAGTCCCCTGACCACTCTAGAGGTGGTTCCTTCCCTCTACTCATTGTTAGCAAAGGTGTGGATGAGAGAGGAGCATAAAAGGCACGCTAACCCAAGGGAACAGCAGCATCTGACAAGTCCCATCATTTGTTAAAATTAAGGTATAGAAAGTGCTACAAGAATCAGTAGATACCAGCAGGGGTCGTTTCGTAGAAAAAGAGCTAGGGGAACTCATTTTCATAACTCATTAGCATATGCCACACCCCCTGACATCAGGGGCCCGGTGGTGGACCTGCAAGGCCGGCAGGAGTGCGAGGAAGCCCCGCCAAGGCCCTCCCTGGCTCCAGGCAGGCAGGGGTGGGGAGAGGCGGGGAGGAAGCAACTTACCCTCCCTCTTCTCCTGCCTCCTCCTGGCTGAATGAGGGCTGGAAGCGGGGTGGCCGGAAGCAGGGGGCGGGGCTTCATCATGTGCCCTGCCCCCCGTACCTCACCCGGGGGAACTGTGTTCCCCCGCGATCCCCCCGAAATGACCTCTGGATACCAGGATCTACGGCTCTCCGTGTTCAGCCAAATGACATGCTACTTCTAAGTCATGGCAGGGGAGAGGACCTGCAATTGCAGAGCAGCTGCGTGCTCCCCATCAGAACTCAATCAGGGCAAACCACAGGGACCAAGTTCAGATTGGAACAGTGACGCCGGGGGGGGGCCTTCAGCCTTCCCCCCCCTGCCATTTTCCTGATATGAAACAGCCACATGGGGGCATTATTGTTCAATCAGGGGGCTGCGTGTTCACTGAATTCATACACATGCAATCCCACAACGAGGTGACACCCCTCTGGACCGTTGTGGGTTCGGGAAACAGCACAGGGCAGAAGGCTACAGTCCCCCTTCCTTCCATGTCACAGTCCCAATATGAATCAGGCACTTTCGCCACCCTACGATGGAGTTCTGAAAGGTTCAAGTCCCAGTAGCAGTCACAAGTTAGATATAGAAGAAGAGAAGAAGAAGAGAAGAAGAGATTGGATTTATCCCCCGCCCTTCACTTGGAGTCTCAGAGCAGCTTACAAACTCCTTTCCCTTCCCCTCCCCACAACAGACACCCTGTGAGGTGGGTGGGGCTGAGAGAACTCTGACACAAACTGCTCTTTTTCAAGGACAGCTGTGCCAGAGCTTGTGACTGACCCAAGGTCACATCAGCAGGTGCAAGTGGAGGAGTGGGGAATCAAACCCGGTTCTCCCAGATTAGAGTCCGCACACTTAACCACTACACCAAACTGGCTGTAATGATTCCATGTTTCGGTGTGTGTGTTCCTTTAGATGTTTAGTTTGATTGTGGCAGGGGTCATTTCGTAGAAAAAGAGGTGCAGGAGCTCATTAGCATATCTTATTAGCATACCTTATTTGCATATGCCACACAGCCCTGACATCACCGGAAGTGTGTCAGAAGGCAACACCCACCTCTCAGGCTCCACTGGACTGTTTTCGATTGCTAGCTATTGGGGGGCGTGCGCAGATCTCCCCTCACAGAGAAGGGAGAGCTTGTATCTGAAGGCGGGCCAGGGGAGGGGCTCTGCAACTTACCTGGCTGCTTTTTGCTCCTTGTGGCCCGACTGAGGGCTGCTGGGAGCAGTGGGCAGGGCTTGTTGCATGTGCCCGCCCCCTGGACTCCTTACTGCCGGAGCTCCGCTCCTGTGCGCTCCCGCAGGAAATGAGCCCTGGATTGCAGTAATATGAGACGAGTGATAGAGGGTGACAAGTGTGATTTGATTGGCTGCTGACTGAGAGTGAGGGAGGAGCGGTGTCTGTCTGATTCTGTGTGTGTGTCTATGAGGAGATTCTGTGATATAAGAGAGACAAGTGTTGAAGAGTTTTGAAGAGAGTGTGTGACTCTGAGAGTTTTGAGAGAGTCTGTATGTGAAGTCTGAAGAGAAAACATAGTCTGTGGGACTATGGGATTTTGAGTCTAATTCTGTGTGAATAAGATCAACAGTTTAGTCTGTGTGACTAAGATAATTGATTCTATTTAGTATGAATAAAACATAGAGACTAGCCTGTATATCATGTATATGAGATAGAGATTATACTGAATGTATAAGCCTGTCAGAGTGGAGTTTGGAGTTTGAGAGCCTGTTTGTAACACCAAGCTTTGCCAGTTATATTTACAAGTTCCTTTCATCAGCAACTGTTCAAATGATCTAGAAACCTATTTTGTTCTTTATTAAATAAATCGATTTTTGTTTAAACATATCCCAGAAATCAGTACAGTACTTCATCAAGTCCACATAGTCCTCTGAAGTGCCCAGACCCTAGGCCATACTACCAAAAGAGAGAGAGATTTGGAATTTTTAATTCCTGGTGGCAGCAGAAATCTACCAAGTTTAGGTACACAAAGCGTGTTTAAAGGTAAAACTGTCTCCCCAATAAGCAAGCACGTCACAGTATCGTCTTAAATTTGGCTCTTAAATAATCTCCTTAATAGGTGTTGGGATCAATACTCCCTCTAGGCTGTGGAGACTTGTGAGCTAGCTCACACTAACTCAGCTTAGAGGGAACACAGGTTGGGATAAACCTCTCTCTGTTTGAGACCCTGAGAGTTATTACCGGAGTAAGCCAGACAGACCAGGAAGTGTCCTCTGTGCATCTTTTTTTACTGCTTGAAAAAACACATATCTGTTCCCATTCCAAATGGAATCAGCCCCCTGGGACTCCGGCCATAAGACGCCAGAAAAAGAGACACCTTTACAGCATCATTTCATACCTGAAAAATCCGCAGCTAACAGATCAACAGCTTTTAAAACTTTGACTTGCAAGAATCCAATGTCCTTTATGTTTCGGAAAGAGTTCCAGAGACACTGGGGAGGGGAATGTTCAGAAGAGAAAAATATTTTAAATTCCAGATTTTAGGAACAGCTTAATAAGGATGCCACAAGTGATCTTACCATTTTCTCCATTCGCTCATAGTCAAGGCTTTAACTCCTCTGTCCCAGAGTCCCCACAATTAGAAACTCATGACTAATTTATTTCCTGGTGGCAGCAATACCCTAGCTAAGCATTTCCAGTTATTTTAATTCAAATTTCCATAAACACAATGCCTGAAAATTATAAAAGCACACCACTTTATTATTACTATTTTTTTAAAAAACCTGCCAGTTTTAACTCTAGCCTGTGAATTCAGCATCAACTGCTTCATATCTGTACTATCCACATGACTAATTCTACCGGCCTCTAGCTTCTCCTGGTTCCCGCCCCATCAGCCATTGTGCTGAAATCAGTAGATATGCTTGGGAGATGAACGCATTTGGAAAGATGCTCCGTCCGGGGAAACACAGATCCAAACTGTCTCACTCCTGAACCACTGGTACTCTCCTCCCCACCCCACTGGGTGCCCTTCCAGATGTTCAGGACAATTCCCACAATCACATTTTCCTGGATTGGTAAGGCTGCATGCTTGGAAGCTCCTCCCATCAAGGATAACTCCCTGCACAGAGACAGGTAGCATGTCAGGGGGAAAGCTGAACTGAACTATTCTTTTTTTCCAACAGGGGGATTCCTCCCCCACCAGTGTAGGAAACCTAACCTTTGTTTCCTGTATTACCTTGAGAGCCAGTGTGATGTTGTGGCCAGAGTGTCAGACTAGGATCTGAGAGACTCAGGTTCAAATCCTTGGAAGCTTGCTGGGTGACTTTGGTCCACTCACACATTCTCACCCTAGCCCTACCTCACGGGGTTGTTGTGAGAATAAAATGGAGGAGAGGAGAATGATGTGAGCCACTTTGGGTTCTCACTGGGGAAAAGGCAGGGTATAAATGAATAAAATGAAATAAAATGAAGAAGCGGCACAATCCTCTACTGGTTGTATTTAGGTACTGACTTCTTTTGTACTCCACTTTTCTCTCCAGTTGGGACCCGACATTCTTCCCATTTCCAGTGTTATCCTCACAACAACCCCATGAGGTAGTGTCATGATATATGTAGGACTAGGAGACAGGCCTAGTGAGGCCCAGGCCCCAGGAGACCTGTGTGGGAGTGGAGGGTAGACACAGCCTACGATCCCTACAATGACTGGTGATGGCTGTAACCAATCGGTGTCCAGGGATTGTATGAGGAGATTGTGATTTAAACTTTGTGGGCTGTGGAATTGTGTTCTTTCCTCTCACAGAGTTAAACTGAGGGGACACTCTGGTCTGAGTGAAAGATCCCTCACTTGGGACAGTGTTGAATAGTAACCAGTTAAGAGAAATAGGTAGTGTGATGTTGCGGCCAGAGTGTCAGACTAGGATCAACACTAGGACAGTGTTGAATAGTAACCAGTTAAGAGAAATAGGTAGTTTTAGTTGCATTAGATTTGTTTATTTTGCTTGTTATGTATTTTAAAGCACCTTGTCTTGTTTTCCTTGCCCCATTACTGTATTAATAAACCATTTGTTTAATGTTCTCTGCCTGGTCATCACGCCTATATTTCTCAGCTTAAAAGGGGCATATTGGTTGGGCTTGGGAGGGTACAGTGGGGCTTCCCAAGGGACCCTAAGTCCAAAGTGGTGGCAGAGGAAGGTGGCAACCCACAGGGGGTCATGACAGGTAGGTTAGGCTGAGATTGCGTGACTGGTCCAAGATCACCCAGCAAGCTTCCACAGCAGACCAAGGATTCGAACCTGGGTCTCCTCATCTCACCATTACAACACTCCGGCTCTCTTGTATGAACTTGCTCTCACTGCTTGAAAGTCCTAGCGATTACTGAACTGGACGGGATAACAAGCTGATCCTCAGGAAGAGCAGAACAAAAGTTGGAACAAATTTGGGTGGAAAGATGAAGAACGACCCGTCTGTGTCTCTCTGCGTAAGGCAGAAACTCCAGAGGAAATTATTATTTTAAGAACCGTCCAATGCAAACTGCCCATATGGCTGCAGGCTAACTGTACAGACAACTGATTAATCACGCTGGCTGCAATATTCAGTGGGTGATATGTTTTTCTTCCCCCATTAAGAGACATGCAATTAGGAACTGGGCTTTGGAGTCATTTTCTGGCCTCTCTCCCCCTCCCGTTTCCCATAAATAAGGAAAAGAAAGTCAGAAAGAAAACAGGCAACCAGAACTCACATAGCGCTGAGAAATCTGCTTCCTTTCCTTAGGGTCTCCCAGGGGGGAAACGCACAGATCCGAGATAGAAACTCCTGAGCAGGGTGCGACAGAGACCACCACCGACAGAGACCCCGGCTGTTTCTCCAACGGCAATACCAAATGGTTTGCTCTCTTGTCGGGCAATGCGCCAATATCCACTTTACACCTAACGCAGAACAAAGCAACGCATAGGAAGTTAGCGGGTCACAGCCGACCCCGGCATACAAGCAAACCATCAAAACATTAATGCATGTCCTGTGAGGTTCAAAGCGCTGTGCAGTCTGTAAGATCAAGTTGGATAACACACGGAATTCACTGCCACAGGAGGTGGTGGCGGCTACAAGTACGGACGGCTTCAAGAGGGAATTGGATAAGCATATGGAGCCGAGGTCCATCGGTAGCTATTAGCCAGAAGGTATAGATAGGGATTCTGGGGCAAGTGATGCTCCGTATTCTTAGTGCTGGGGTGTCAATAGTGCCCTAACCCCACTGCTGGACCTCCTGAAGGCACCTGGTATTTTTGGCCACTGTATGACAGAGTGTTGGACTGGTTGGGCCATTGGCCTGATCCAGCATTGGCTTCTCTTATGTTCTCTTATGTTCTTATGATAAGGTGCTCGAGCATGCATGCACTACTCCCTCTGTGCACTTACGCCATCTCCAGCGGTATGCAGGTGAACCGCTTCTTTGGAAGAAGTCAATCTCCCGTTATGTGAAATGTTTGGTATGGGCCAAATGGATGGTCCCTCTTCCTCCTTTGCGTAAGGCCTCCAAAAGGGGATCAAAACTTCAAGGGTCTTAGGGATGGAGTCAAGCAAGCAATGCGCTTGCACAAACAGCGGTGATGTTTGGTTTAGGAGCAGAAGGAACTGCTCCAGGCGCCTGAGAACTCTGTATTCCAAGAAGCAGTACAGTCATGTGGACGACTATTAACTTGCACCGATTGGTTCTAGCCTGTTTATATGTGCCTATAAGCTCCATCTTGTCAGACCTTAGAATTAAGCAGGGTCAGCCCTGGTTTGTACTTAGATGGAGAAATACAAAGAGACCTCCCAGTTGCGAAAGATCAAAATTACAAAATCAACCGGGGAAACGTAATTATGCAAAATATAAATTTACACAATGTGAAAACAATTAATAAAAGTGCTACATACATAATTATACTGAAAGGTTACATAGGAGAAATAAGAGAATCAACTAAGCTTCCGGCTTGTGTCTTCGTTTCGATTCTATGCTTCCTCAGAAGTAAATTCTCCCATTCAACAACTTGCATTAACTGAGTGTCGTCTCTTTTATTTTCTTTGCTTGTCAAAGCTTGTCAAGGCTTACATTCCAAATAGGAAACAAGAATCTTCATCTCAGGCTCCAATCCAATCTGCTCTGTGCTACGAAATGTTAGAATGCCTTTTGTAGCGCAGAGCAGATTGGATTGGAGCCTGAGATGAAGATTCTTGTTTCCTATTTGGAATGTAAGCCTTGACAAGCTTTGACAAGCAAAGAAAATAAAAGAGACGACACTCAGTTAATGCAAGTTGTTGAATGGGAGAATTTACTTCTGAGGAAGCACAGAATCGAAACGAAGACACAAACCGGACGCTTCGTTGATTCTCTTTCTTCTTCTATGTAACCTTTTGGTATAATTACGTATGTGGCACTTTTATTAATTGTTTTCACATTGTATAAATTTATGTTTTGCATAATTACGTTTCCCCGGTTGATTCTGTAATTTTGTACTTAGATGGGACATCGCCAAGAAAGACAGGCCATGGCAAACCACTCAAAAGCCCTACACAGTCGCCATAAGTCGGCTGTGACTGGCTGTATATTAGTTTTGGTTTTATGATGTGTTTTGTAATGTTCTGCTTTTAATGGTTGGCTGCCTTGGTGCCCTGATTGGCAGAAAAGCAGGATACGCACACAGAAATGCCGTTAAGACTCATTATGGCACCAGGGCCTATATTCCGCCAGGGTTTCATTTGAGGTGGCGCACATTCAACCATTCTGGCCTCCCCTGTTCACAGCCCCTTCCCAGCGCCATGCTGCTCAGACAACACTACTTGGGCACCGGAGCTTTTATTCGCCTGACATGAGGCATGGGTCCTTTCTGTTATCATTTTACCGCTTTTATTGTTTTATGGATCTTGTGTTGTAAGCTGCTCTGAGCCCACTCGTGGGATAGGGCAGGGTATAAATCATAAAACCAGATAATAATAAATAAAGAAATAAAGAAATAAAACCAGAGGATTTATCCTCTGGTTACAGTAACATCTGAACTGAACAGAACTGCTGTCAGTTCTAGCCCGTGCTGGTGTGCGCTACCAGCCTTGTCCCCAGCTCGCCGTCCACCCAGCGGTTCGAAAGCTTCAGCGAGTAGATAAAATGGGTACCACTCCTTAGAGAGGGTGGGCACACTAAACCCCCCCCGGTGGGGGGAGGTGTTAGCCGGCGAAATGGAATGTCCAGCTTGTAAGCTCAGAAGCCTGGAAAGATCTCCTCGGCATCAAGAAACCTGTGATGGGCCAATCCGGGCAGGCGGTGGCAGTGTGGCACTGCAACTTGAAGCAGTCCTGAAAAAAAGCTGATGTCATCAAGCCAAGCCGAGTGAATGCTGTCTAGAACACGTCTAAGCCTACAGCTGAACAAAATCCCCATCGGCTGCAAACATGTGCGACTTAAAAGATTTATATGTTGTCCTCCTTTACCCCTATGAATCATTGTTAGTCCCCGTGTGAATATGTGTAACTGTAAGTCGCTCAGAGCCAGCAGCTCTGCAGGACTGAGCGATTAATAAATTGAAAGCTATTATTATTATTATCATCACCATCAATAATAATCATAAGGGGTCATTTTGTAGAAAAAGAGGTGCAGGAGCTCATTAGCATAACTCATTAGCATACCTCATTTGCATATCCCACACCCCCTGACATCACTGGAAGTGTGTCAGAAGGCAACACCCACCACTCAGGCTCCACTGGACTCTTTTGGATTGCTAGCTATGGAGGGGGGGATGCACAGATCTGCCCTCACAGAGGAGGGAAAACTTATACCTGAATATACCTTGGCCATAAAGGTGCCACTGGACTCCTTTGGATTGCTATCGGGGGAGGGGCTCTGCAACCTACCTGGCTGCTTCTTGCTCCTCGTGGCCCAACTGAGGGCTGCTGGGAGCAGGGGGCGGGGCTTGTTGCATGTGCCTGCCCCCTGGGCTCTTTACTGCTGGAGCTCCGCTCCTGTGCGCTCCTGCAGGAAATGACCCCTGATAATCAGCAGCAGCAGCACAAAATATTTGATTCCTTAGGTTACCTACTCCAGCTAAGGAAACTCTTGTTGATTTGGGGGCGGCGCCCGTGCAGGGCGGAGATTTAAGAGGGGAAGGAGTTCAGTGGAGATATGATGCTGTATTTTCTACTCTCCAAAACTGTTGTTTCCTTCCAGGGAACTGATTTCTAAGGTTCCCCCCGGAGACTGGCAGCCATGAGTTCCATGAGTTCCTTCTGACTCACTAATATCTGCGCCAGACAGTTTATCAGCTGCTCTGTATTACATTGAACAGGCATTTCCCATTGAGGCCAATCAACAACACAGCCAGTCGCCTACTGAACATTGACCCTTAAAAAAAAAAAAAGGCTTTGAACACTTTAATGCTTATTCAGGCCTCTGATATTTAACCAGAGATCATGCCTGGTTAGTACACTGTGCAACAGTTGATTTTAAGGCATAACTATTTTAAAAACAAAAAACAGGAAAGCGTACTCAAAGAAATTAGAACATTTTCTTGGGTGGGAGGAAGGTCAAAAGAGACAAAGAGGGTTCCCTCTTCACATCCAGTCGAGTCTTAAAAATGTGTTTAAAGAATTCCAGAAGGTGCTGGAATGATACACCTTCAAAAGATGGCAAAATCCAGATGTGCTACAGGCCAGAGGCGTTCCTTGGTATTTTCAGGGCTCCTCTCCACCACCCCCAAGGAACAGCTACAGTCTGAAACGCATAAGGATTTCCTGTTTAGTTTTGTTTTTGTAACAAACCTCCTTGGAACGTCTTGTCCCGATCGTGTTTTCCAAAACACCTTCTGGATTTTTCCCCCTCTCAAACAGAACAAAAAGTTTGGTCTCAAGAGTATTTTCCAAAGTGTTTTTGTTCCAAGGATTTGCAGGAGGGGGAGGGGAATGTAGCTGTGAAAAGGACCTGAGGTACAATCATTTAAATGCCTTTTATTTGGGAATAACTGGAGCGCAACTCGCAAGCAGCTCGGAGGAACTGAGCCCTTAAGGAGAACTCTGAGCAAACGGTGGCAGCTGAAGCCAAAAAAGACCAGAAAGGAAGAATCCCTTTGCTGTGATCTGCAAAGGCAGTCGGGTTTCTGAAAATAGACGGGAGAGACACACAATTTGGATTGGGTAGGCAGGACATAAGGCCTGTCAACAAGCTATTATTGAAACAAAAAAACTTGTTAAGGTGTTGGCGTGATGGGCAGAAAAGGGAAACGTTCCGCAGGGGTCCCCCAGGTGGGTTCTTCTTAGGCAAATGGACCGTGCATTTTCACCTGATTGCCGAGTCTATGACTGGGAGGGGATCCCGAGATTGGCACCCATCTGCTACACCCAGTGAGCTTTCCGTTTCTAAATAGCCTGGTCTGGAAGGGGGGGGGAGGTGTCTGCAGGGGCATAAAACACCTCCCACAAATGTTTAAATGCAGCTCAATTCAGGGAGAAATGGAGTTGCCAACAGAGGGGGGAGAGGAGGAGGAGGACTGAGCAACGCAGTTGCAATTGGTCTGAAGTATTTTTTTCCTAAGAATTCAGGGGGAGGAATGAAGGGCCTCTTCCTCTTTCTTGAGTAATACCTGAAATGAACCAGCAAGTTTCTTCTTAACACACACACACACACACACACTGCACTGGGGTTATGTGTCAATTCCAAGCCCAATTCCCCTAGATCTGGGGGTAAAAAATGTCCCACAAAGGGTACATTTGTGATTGTCATGAAGGGTACCGTTACCAGCCCTGGGTTGGGAAATACCTGGAGATTTTTTTTTGGGGGGGTGGAGCCTGGGGAGGGAGGGGTTTAAATAGAATCCGGGTTATAATTCCATAGATTCCACCCTCTACTCTGGCTGGTGAATAATAGATTGAATGTATGCCCTTGCCCTTCCCTCGGAATCTCGGA